CTTGCGGCAGACGTTGTTGTAGTTGGTGCAGATGTGGTGCAGGCACCAGTCGGCGAGCTGGTAGGCGCAGTGGAACTGGGGGAGAGGGGACACGGGCTCAGGGCCACCGGGAATGGGCCACCAACGGGGTTCAGCTCATTTCTCCATGGACAGCCACGGCCAGAGCTGGTGTCCAGCACCCAGAGCTGCCAGGCCCTCTGGGTGTCACCTCAACCACATCAGGCCCTCTTTGTGTCACCTCCCAGCCTGGCCAGACCCTCTGTGTGTGACATCGACCACACCAGACCCCTCTGTGTCACCTCCCAGCCCTGCCAGCCTCCTCTGGGTGTCACCTCAACCACACCAGACCCTCTGTGTGTCACCTTGAGCAAGTTCAGCCATCCCATCTCCCTCTTTGTGTCACCTCCAGCCTTGCCAGACCCTCCATGTGTCACCTTGAGCACCTCCAGCCATCCCAACTCCCTCTTTGTGTCACCTCCAGCCCTGCCAGAGCCCTCTGTGTGTCACTTCGGCCATCGCCAGCACTGTCATGCCCCGCTGTGTGTCACCTCGACCATGCCAGACCCCTCTGTGTGTCACCTTAAACACTCTAACCCTGCCAGGTCCCTCTGGGTGTCACCTTGAGCACCCCCAGCCATCCCAGACCCCTCTCTATGTCACCACCCAGCCCTGCCACACCTCTCTGGGTGTCACCTCCAGCCATCCCAACCCCCTCTTTGTGTCACCTCCAGCCCTGCCACACCCCTCTGGGTGTCACCTCGGGCACCCCCAGCCTGCCAGGCCCCTCTCTGTGTCACCTCCCAACCCTGCCATGCCCTCTGTGTGTGACCTCGACCATCCCAGCCCCCTCTGTGTGTCACCTCCAACCCTGCCAGACCCCTCTGTGTGTCACCTTGAGCATGCCCAGCTCTGCCAGCCCCCTCCATGTGTCACCTCAAACCCCCCCAGCCCCTCCAGCACGTGCCCCTGTCCTACCTGAGCCAGCTCCAGGAACACCAGCACGTCCCCATCGATGTCCACCATCATCTGCGCCGCCTCCATCAGCCCGGTCACCGTGTACTGCTCTGTAGGAGTGGGGAGTGGACACACACGGGGTCAGGGGGCGGCCAGGACAGAGTGACCGTCACCCCACCCCATCACGGCCACCCCAGCTGACCTGTGAGAGCCACCAGGTGCGGCAGGCAGAGGCGGTTGGCGAGGATGATGAGCTTCATGTCGTCCAGGTCGGGGCTGGAGCTGAACTGGCCCGTGTACAGGTACTCCAGCACCGCCCGCATGCAGCTCTTGCTGGTGTGAGGAAGTGCCACCTGCCAAAGATGAATTTGTCACCTCGGGGATGTCCCCAAACCCTGTCCCCACCCCCTCTGGGGAGCTCTGCTCACCTCGTTGGTGGAGCTCTCCACGAAGGGGCCGCCGAACATGGCAGCCATCCAGTCGCAGCTGGAGATGAGCAGGGGCTTGTGGGCACTGATAGCACCGTCATCCAGCACRAAGGTGACATCTGGGGACAAGCACAGGGAGCTGCTGGGACCGGCCCTGGCACCCAGGGCTCGGCCACCCATTGCCACGGAACAGCTCGCCCCGGGGACAGCAGGGGGAACGGGGCAGAGCCTGGCACATCCTATATTTTTCCCCCAAAAAAATCCATTTTTTCATTTTTGATGCAGCATTCCCTGCCAGCTCCGAGGGGCTCAGGGAGGAATCCTGGCTCATTCCCAGGGATTTTCCYAGGTCACACAACGCCTTTGAAAAAGGGGAAAAAACGGGAAGCAAATCCAAGCTGGAGTCCTTGGAGAGCTGGGGATCTCCTGCCCCGCTGTGCCAAGGGCCAGCACACATCTGTCCCTGACAGAGGGACAGCCTGACCATATTAGGATCCATCTCCACGAAAAAAAAACCCAGCGGGAGGGAGGACGGGACATTCACATCCCCCTGGGACGTCACCTCGTGCTGGTGGCTCGTGGTGCTGGCGGGAAAGCTGGGGAAATCCCACTAAGGGCACTTGGTCCTAATAAATCAGGATGACCCTGTGAAAATCTGGGCCGGGAGAGAAGGAAATCGCCTTCGCAGCTCTTCCATAAATAAACAGAGCTGCTGGGCCAGATGGGAAGCAGGAAACCCTGGGGAAAGGCTTCACGCTCACTTTCTCGAGGGGG